AACTCACAATCTGCCTGCCTCTGCCTCCCAAGTGCTGGGATCAAAGGCATATGCCACCATGCCTGGCATTTACTAAACATTTTAAAACATGTAAGTAAAATAATGGAGCCAAGGATGAGTCCATGCCTAGAATGGCTACTTTTCACTCCTTATTTTGTAATGTGGGTTCTTCTTAATTTTTAAAAGATTTTAAAATATTTTTATTTTATGTGTACGAGTGGTTTTTTGCATGTATATAAGTGTACCATGTGTGTATAATGCCTATAGAGGTCAGAAGAGGTATCAGATCCCCTGGAAATGGAGTTTCGGATGGTTGTTAGCCACCATGTAGGGGCTTGGCACCAAACCTGGGTCCTCTGCAAGAACGACCAGTACTATTAACTGCTGAGCCATTTCTTCAGCCCAGGCAAACTTTTTATTTTTTAGTTAAACAAGTTAGTTCACAATCTTCGATCCCACCACAATCTCTCTTTTTCTGGAATCAGGTCTGGTCTCCTGAGGGCCTGGAACTGAGCCCAGTACTTGAAGGGCATCACGTCACCGTGGCTGAGGATGCTGATGCATCTGAATCAGCAAGTTGGTGCCCACATGCACATTAACACAAAGCAAGGCACCAAACACCCTCTGCAGAATGATAAGTCTTTAGCTCACTGGGCATTTGTTGTTTCTGGCACCGAGACTAACCATATGTTGTTGGGATGTGTTAGAGGTTCCAGCTGTGTAAAACAGCAGTGGCCGTGCTCTCGAACATCAAGAGCTGGGTTGGAATTCTACAGTTTAGCTTATTGTCCTGCTGTATCTCCTGTTTGCTAGATTCTAGGCACCAGAATCTTCCACTGATTGTCTTCAGACTGCAACATAAAAGGAAAACTGAACTGTTCATTGATAATTGAATGGTGTCAAGAAACCCAAGTCCTTGAGGCCTGCTCACAAAGCCTGTGTTGTAGGCATGTGCTAAAAGCTGTAGACATGTCTTCATTTCCTCCCCACAAAAGTCTGTGAGGTCACTGTGCCTTGTGCCAGGCTGTGGCCTGGCTGCTGGTGACAGGATCTGACCTTGGCATTTCCCTAGTTACTCTTCCCTCTGGTATATTTGGGTTTGCTTTTCCTTGTATAAGTCTGTAGGAAATAGAAAGCACCAAGGTGGGCATGGTGATGCACACCTTTAATCCCAGCACTCCAGAGGCAGAGGCAGGCAATCTCTGTGAGTTCAAGACCAGCCTGGTCTACATACTGAGTTCCAGGCCAGCTGTGGCTACAGGGAGACCCTGTTTCAAAAAACATAAACAATGCTGGGCATGGTGGCGCACGCGTTTAATCCCAGCACTCGGGAGGCAGAGGCAGGCGGATCTCTGTGAGTTCAAGGCCAGCCTGGTCTACATAGTGAGTTCCAGGTCAGCTGGGGCTACAGGGAGACCCTGTCTCAAAAAGACCAAAAAAAAACCTAAAAACAAACAAACAAACAAACAAACAAACATAAAGTAACCACCAATATCTGTTATTTATTGCTTTGTAACCAGGGCTGGCCTTGAACTTGTGATCTTCCTGTCTCTGCCTTTTGAGTGTTGGAATCGTAGGCAGGCATGTGCCACCATATTCTGCAACATCTGCTCTTTTCCACTCGATTTCTCCAGCCCACTTCTTATTTCAATTTTGGGTCCCAGTGCTTGTCATTCAATTAGGAAACAAAAGGCACTGTTACCATGCCAGAAAGCCAAAGGGTTTTAGGAGCTGTGTGCCAGGGACCTGAGACATTGATTGACCGATTGCAGTGCCAGGGAATTGAACCCAGGACCTCACACTTATTAGGCAAGCACTCTATCACTGAGCTATCCTCAGGCTGGGGTCCCTCAGCCTGCCAGAAAAGTCAGCGGGGTGGCCTGAGGAGCATGTGCCTGCAGAGGCTTGGGTGCTTACTCCAGTCGCTTTGTGCTTCTTTATTCCTGTCAGTTTGTTTCTCCCGAAATGTCATTCAGTCTAAATGTGAGAAGTCATGCCTCTGACTGTAGCAAGCAAAAAGTGGTGGCAACACCAATTTTGGTGGGACTTGTGGCAGGAAGAATCCAGGAGACCTTGGCTCTGTAACCCAGATGAGGTGAGAGGTCAGCACAGGGGGCAGGAGATGCAGCGTTTCAAACAAAAGACAAAGTAGGCCAGAGGACACACCATCTCTTTCCTAAATCTTTTGGTAAATTACTTCTTTTTGCTTTTTGAGGCAGAGCCTCACTATGTAGCCCAGGCTACCTCTTATTTTAAAAATTTGTTTTTTATTTTTATTTCACATGTTTGAGTGTTTTGCCTGCATGTATATGTGTACCACAGTCATGCAATGCCCATGGAGGCCAGAAGAGGGTTTCAGAGCCCCAGGAACTGGAATTATAGACAGTTGTTAACTGCCATGTGGATGCTGGGAACTGAACCCAGGTCCTTTGCAAGAGCAGCCCTAACTGCTAAGTCTTAACTGCTGAGTCATCTCTCTAGCCCCTTGCATTAGTTTCTCATCCACTAAATCAACTTAAAGGAGGAAAGATTTATTTTAGCTCAGGGTTAGGAGGCTTCAGCCCACAGTAGGATAGCACCACTGTTCTAAGGTTGTGGAAAGGCAAGAACTTCATGGCAGGAGGACTGGAGGAGGAAAGTTGCTCACCTCACACGAAGGCACAGGACAAGAGGTCCTTCACAGACACCCCCAAGGACCCACTTCCTCCAACAAAGACCCTCATCTTAATAGTCCAAGCAGTATAAAGCCACTAATAACATGGAGGAGGTTAGGACCCATATAATCAGCAAGAGACTAAGACTTCAACGTGAGCCTTTGGTGGGGGAGGTGGTGTAGGCACTTTACATCCAGACTGTAATAGGTCTGGACTTTGCCCATGGAGGCCCATGCTGTGTTTACTGACCTGGTAGAGTGACCCTGGGGACAGTTCCATTTCATGTTGTCGATTGTCAGAGGCTTCACTAAAGCCTGTCCACGTCGCTCTTCATGGGAAAGATTTCATTCGAGTCACCAGCTTTCTCCTTTCTCTGAGATAAGATATATAGTGTCACAGCAATTAGACACGTTTGGGCAGTGCTCCTCGGTGGTCCCATAAACACTGACTTCGGAACATTAACAGTGCTTGAGTTAACTCCCTTGCTTTACTCAATTCTTTCAAATTGATTTACAGGGAGTGGTGGCACATACCTGTGACCCCAGCATTTGGGATGCAGAGGCAGGCAGGAGGACCCTGAATTCACCAGCATACACCCACAGGGAGGCTGGCAAAGGTGGAGGGCTCCAGCCTCTGTCCTCAAGACCATATTTATATGGGATTATAGAAATGTGGCACTCTTACAAGAATAGTTATATAACAGATGGCATTATTGCTTACTTTTAGAGTCCCCACGCATCTGGTGTCAGCCATTTTGTACTAACTCATAGCCTCAGGATGTCTAGCATTAACCCTCTTGACCCTTCTGGATAGCCATATCCATAAACTAGCCCTTATGGCCTTTTGTTCCCTACGTATGCAGGAAGCCAATAGCTGATCTGAACTTGGACCAGATGCCTCCAGGGTTGTCCAGCTGTCCTTGCACAATCTTCAAGATGCCTCTCCGAGTCTCAGTGTTCTCATCTATAAAATGGGAATCAGAGCATCTAGTTCAGATGGTTGCTGCGTCTGTTAAATGAGATTATTCTTCTATCAGCCAAGGCTGATTGAGGGCTGTGGCAGGCACTGCTTGCTGCTCTTCCATTCTTGAGAACAAAGCTCTGAATTCCAGCCACCAGCAATGCCTATGTCTCCCCCACCTCCCCTGTATCCCCCGTGGTACAACTGGTCAATGTAAGCACAAGTGGTGCGTGTAACTTTGGGAGGCTGGGATCAAAGGTGTGCACCACCATGCCCGGCAAAGATGCATTTTTTTAAGTCATCATTTTTTGGCATTTCTGTCTCTTCCTAGTATACCAGGCACTAGTTGACACAAGTACCATTTATGTGCCAGGCCCTGGCTCTGCACAGGGGATCACAGGGAGAAGAAGCCAGAGGCAGCCCCTCCCCATGTGGAGCTTCTGGCCCAGTGGAGGCTAGAGACAGAAGTAAAGCATCATAAATGTGGGTGTACTGTGAGAGTGGACAGCACACAAACTTGACTGTGTCAGGGGCTCATCAGGTTCTTGGGAAGACACTTTTCACCTAGAATATGAATTCTGAAATTAAACCTGAAATAAACCTTCTAGAGTTGCTTAGTTTTAGTTACTTGCTTTCAAAATCACAAATTGTAGCCAGGTACTGGTGTTGTATACTTGTAATCTTATTGTGTTGGGAGGCTGAGACAGGAGGATCAAGAGCTGAAGGCCAGCCTGGGCTACACAGTGAGACCCTGTTTCAAAAACAAACAACAAGAACAGTAGCAACAACTAATTTCGGTCTGGAGTTATAACAGTGCAGAGCACCTGTCTGGTGTGTGTGAGGCTTCAATTCCCAGCACCACAGAGAAGGGTCAGGTGAGTCACTGACTTGGACAAGGCATTGAGAAAACGAAAAGCCCCACAGCGAAGGACAGTCAGATGGTTAGTCCTCATAGTGCTTTGCCATCCACTTGTGCCAGCAGCACCTGGCCCTATGTGCCTGTAGATTCAGTTTCTTGTTCGGGGGATTGGTGACTCCTGGCTCCAGGCTGCTGCTGTGGCTGTGATTGGAGCGTCAGTGGGTGACCTGGAGAGGGGTTGTTGTGATTTTGATGTGAAGTACTGCAGAGGCTCATGTGTGTGACCAGATGGTGGAGCTGTTGTGGGGGTTGGGGAACCTTTAGGTGGTGGGGCCCTGCTGGAGGAGGGGAGTTCCTGGAGGGTTTTAGACAGTATCACCTTTGGCCCCATCTGTGCTTTCTGATCTGTAGAGGTGTGAACAAGCAGCCTCAAGAACCGGTCCCATCACTGTGCCTTCTCTGCCATGATGGACTTTAAACTCTGAGTCAAGAGCCAGAATAAATCTTTCCTCCCTTAAACTGCTTTTATCAGGTGTTTGGTCACAGCAACAGGAAAAGTAACTAACACGGCAGACCTTGGCAAACCTGCCCAGGGATTGGAGTACCCAGGCCTCAAGGGGAGCTGGGCTTCTGCTCCTCTGACGACTGTTAAGCAAGAAGGGGCCCAGGATGCCTTGTATCTACCCAGCTGCTAATGGCTTGCCAGGTGTGTGTGTGTCTGCTGTTGGTGGACTTGGTAACTTTTTCTTGTTTCCTTTCTCTGCCTTCCTTTCTTTAATTTTAAGGATTTATTTTATTTTTAATTATGTGTGTGTGTGGGGGTGAGTGCTTCCTTTCTGCTCTTGACTGTGGATGTCATGTGACCAGCTATCTCAAGCTTCTGCCACTGTCACTGCCCCACGGCGATGGACTGGAACCCTGATCTAAAATAAACCCTTTCTCCCGAGTTGCTTTTTGTCAGGATATTTTACCATAAGCCACAGATACAAACCTAGAACAGTGGTATCAGTGCTTCATAACTACTGACAGACCCTGGACCAAAGTCCAGGGGCTCTGACCCACCAGGGTCAGCCTGGGACCTAAGTCAGTATTTGGGTTTACTGGTAACCTGCACAGGGTTCACTGGTAACCTGGCACCCCACAGACAAGTCTATGTAGGCAGACTTTTCCCCATTCCTGGGTCCCTGAGTCACTGTCCATTTATTCCCTGTAGGACTGCCTGTGTGGCCAGTGTTCCCAGCAAGACCTGAGCCAGATCATGGAGACCAGACAGCCTTCCCAGGACCCTGAAAAGCCTGGAGGATTCAGGCCATGGCTGTTCCTCTATGTAGTCCCAAGCCTTCATGAAGCAGGTGCCTGGTGCCTGGGCACTAGTAAAGGAATGCATTAAACCACCAACTTCACTTTGGTTTGGTTTGGAGGGGACACTCCAACTCCCATGCCCTTTCCTTCTGCTTTGGGATGTCATGGCTTTTAGCAGTTCAGTGCCCTGGACCACATAGAATGGGGGAACTTTCTACCACATCACTCATAATACTCAGCTGAGTGGTCCCACCCTCAGTCAGGTGAGTTCATCCACTGTCCAGCAGTTATGGTTAAATCTGAAATGTCTCCCAGAGATTCTTGCGGTGGAGCCCGGCTGGTGATAGTAGCTCTTTAGAGGTGAGTCTATGAAGGTTATACTCAAACCCTCAAGCCTAGCTCGGTGGTGCACACCTGTAATTCCAGGAAACAGGCGAGTTTCCACAAGACTGTCTCAAAACAAACAGGTCAACAAGATGGCTCAGCAGGAAAAGGCATTTGCCTCTGAGCCTGATGACCTGAGTTTGAGCTCAGGGATTCACATGGTGAAGGGAGGGCACTGACTACTGCAAGTTGTCCTCTGACCTCCACATACAGGCACATAAATAAATGGAACAAAAAAATTCAAAAAGCAAACCCAGTCCCCAATTCCTGCCTCCCTCTGCTTCCTGGCCCATGAGATGTGAACAGCTCCTGCTCCCAGGAACTAAGCTGTTCTGCCACTCTTCCCATCACAATGGACAGAAACCCTTCTCCTGGGAGTTCTTTCTAAGGGTATTTTGGTCACAACAACAGGAAAGTAACTATGGACTCAAAAATATAACTCTCACCTGAAAGGGGCTAAGAAATAGTTTATTCTGGAGCCAAATATGAATGACCATGACCTGGGAACAGAGATTCAGGTTATCCCAAATTCCATGTTCCAATGTGGAAACAGTTTCATGAAGTTTTTATAGTAACAGAACAAAGAAAGTCATAAATCAAGGCACTTCTCAGATACATTGGTGGACACAGTAAGTTGGTGGTTAACAGCTTTGCTTTCACAAAAATCTCAGCTCTAGGTCTCAGATGCTATTTGGTGATACTCTTGGTTGGTGGAAGCTAGGATTTGGTTAACACACCCCAGAAGGTTTTTATCTATTAGTCACAGGGTGTTAGGTCAGACACAGAGGGGGGCAAGGAGTGGTTATTTAGGGTGAAAGGCAGTCCCCCAAAAATGGAACTGCGACATTCCAAACTCTCCAGAATCACTGAAGTTCTGTCAGCTGATCAGTCCTGCAGAAGGTTCAGTTTGAAAAATGCATGGTTTGTTTGTTTGTTTGTTTGTTTGTCTGGGAACTTTTATTCACACAACAAGTCAGTGTAGTCCAGGCAAACCTGGACCACTGTCGCTAGCCCAAGCCACACTTCTACCCCCTCTTTTCTCTGGCCCTTCTCTTCTTTGAGTTGAATTGGGTCTCCCTAAAGATTTGGAAATACAGTTGCTGCAGATGTAATTAGTTAATATGGTCATTAGAGTGGGCTGTAATCCAGTGACTAGTATCATTAGAAAAAAAGGAAATTTAAGTGAGGTCTGGGAGCTAACATTTGTCATCCTAGCACTAGGGAGGTGGAGGCAGGAAGAGGCCAGCCTGGACTACATAATGAGACCTTGTCTCAAAAAAAAAAGAAAAAAAGATGTGAATTTGAATGGAGAGACAAAGGAGGAGAGAGATGAACAAGGGGGTGGGGAATAGGCCACCTACCAGCCAAGGAGAGTGGCCCGGAGGAGATCCTTGTCTCACAGTCCCCTGAAAGACCTGCCCAGGGAACCCTGGACAGACACCAGCCTTCATAACTGAGACAGCCCGTTTCTGTAGCTTCATCCACCCTGTCTGGGGTCCTTGGTGACAGTAACCCTGACTGATCACTATACAACTATTCAACACTATACAACTATTCAACAGTTCAAGCCCTTGGCCTGTGCTGGGGATGAGACATGACACAAAGAGAAAGGACAAAGAGTCACTGCATTCACAGGCTTGCCTCTTAGTGAGAAAGAGGCAGATACTCATACGGTGGTGAGACCTATGATGAAAGCAGAGGTGGGTCCCTGCTGCAGCTATTGTCATCTCTGTCCTTGTCAGAAAGGACTGAGGCCTCTTCTACCCTAAGCAGGGTTCAGTGGGGTCTACAGAGAGATCTTGGAAGGACAGCTTCCCCGCTCAGCCCTCCTGCACTCCTGGACCCCTGAGCTGGCCACTCCTCCCTTCTTCCTTTTTTTCTTTTTTGTGTGTGTGTTTTTGAGACAGGGTCTCCCAGTAGCCCCAGCTGTCCTGGAACTCACTATGTAGACCAGACTGGCCTTGAACTCACAGAGCTCTGCCTGTCTCTGCCCCTAAGTGCTGGGACTAAAGGCGTGTGCCACCACTTCTTGCCTGACTGCAACTTTTAAAATGTTGCCACTTTCCCATATCGCAATGTGTCTGCTCTTGCTGCTGTTCCTTGTGGAACACTGGAGAGTAAGTTAGAGACCTGGTGTCCTGGTTTGTTCTCCATTGCTGTGACAAAACACTTGAGACCCTGTAGCCCCAAGTCTGGAAGTCTCTGTGTAGACCAGGCTGTAAGTCTGGCCTGGAAGTCTCTGTGCAGACCAGGCTGTCCTGCCCCTGCCTCCCAATACTGGGGGTTAAAAGCCTTTGCTACCACACCTGGCTCTGTGGGGCATTTTATGAATTGCTAATTGATGTAGGAGGGTCCAGTCCACTATGGTGGTACATTCCTAGGAAAATGGATCTGGGCTGTATTAGAAAACTAGCTGCACAGGAGCCAAAGAGCCAGGGAGCAAACCAGTAAGCAGCGTTCCTCCATGCTTTCTACTTAGTTCCTGCCCTGAATTCCCTCAGTGATGGATTGTGACATGGACATATAAGATGAAATAACCCTTTCTTCCGCAAGTCGCTTTTGGTCAGAATGTTTTATTAAAGCGACAGAAAATGAAACTAGGACAAACTCCCATCAAGGTCCGCCAGCTGCTCTGAGTGGGTAGGATCATGGGCTTTGCAGGCAGCCAGGAGGATCTGCCTGGATGCTTATCAGAATGCCTGGCTCATATTATACCTAGGAGGAAAGGAGGAAGAGTATGTATCATGCACAGCAGAGCTCAAAAAGTAGGAGGGCATGGAGCACCTGTCCTCAGCTCCTAGACACTCTTCTGCCCAGCTCTAGACCATCTGACCCTCCCAAGCTTGATAGGGATCAAGCATCAGATTAAAGAATTCACATTTAATGACATAAGAAATCAAGCTGGCTGGGCCATACCTATAATGCCAGCACTCAGAGGCAGAGGAAGGACAATCTTAGTTCCAAGCCAGCCTGGGTTATACAGTGAGACCTCAGGGTCTCACAAAAGAGAAAAAAGAAGAATCAGGCTGGTTGGTAGCTGGTCTGAGGACAGAGGGAGGTGTGAGCCAAGGGTCTTTGCATGAGACCATACCCATCATCTTATGCAACCATTCCATGAACCTGATAATCACTCATAAGTTTGGCCAGCTAGCAACCCCCACATCCTCAGACCAGAAGTGGCCCCCAGCCTCTTGCTTCTTGCTGGGCTTGGGGATCTGAGGTCTATCCACAGTAGAGGTTCCAACTGCCTGTGGAACATTGTTGATATCAGATTCCTAAGCAACATCTGGATTCAATTTAGCATCAGAACACTGAAAGCCAAGGTTGGCCACCTGCCAACACCCAGCAGGAGGAGCAGGGCTGCCACCCCCTTTCCAGGGTGATAAAGTTCCCTGGGCCTCTGGAGGCCCGCACAGTTTTCACAAGGCATCCTGAGGAAGAAGGTCGTAGTGGTTTTTGCCGCCCTGGGTTCCCTCCAGTCCAGGCTTGGACATCTGGCTTTTGCAGGATCCAATTCAACCTTCACTGTCCAGAGAAGGGCAGGGATTCAGAAATAGTCATGTAGAAAAGCAGGTCCCCATTCCAGTGCACTGCACTGTGAATAAATAACATGCATGATAGTTAACGCTGCCTTCACTGGGTGCTGACTTAAAGTACATCCTGATGGCTATTTAAAACCCATCATTCAAATTTATCCTCAAAATAACTGGAGCTGAGGCTAGGGAGAAGGCTCAGTGGGTACTTGTACAAGCATGAGGGCCCAAGTTGAGTCCCTAGCATCCACGTAAAAACCAGGCATTGGTGCACAGGACTGTAACCCCAGTGTTGTGGGCCAGAGACTTAGCTGAAATAGCAGTTCAGGTTCAGTGAGAGACCCTGCCTCAGGAGAAAAGTGGAAAGCAAGAGAGGAGAACACCTGACAGCCTCCTCTGGCCTCCACATATACCTGCCCTGCCTGTGTGCACACAACCACCCCCCATATGTGCACACATATACTCCACACACAAAAATAAAAACTGGACTGAAGAGGTGGCTCAGTGGTTCTATTCCCAGCACCCACAGGTTGGCTAACAACCTGTAACTCCAGTTCCAGGGGATCCGACACCTCCTTCTGGTCTCTGTGGTCACCTGCACATACATGTTATATACTCAGAGATACACATTCACATAAATAAAAATAAAATAAATATTGAAAAAAAAAACCTGGAGACTGGGTTAAAGTACATACTGAATATGTGAATCTGGGAACCAAGCCACATTGGCTTGGCATCAAATGACAGGATTCCTCCTGAGGTCCTGATACTGAGTCCCACTAGTATGTCCCCTAGGCTATGCTTTCAACAAGGAAACTGGGGTGGGCTCAGTGCCCAGCATGTAAAGGCCCCCAAATTCCATCCACAACAGCAGGAAAGAAAACAAAAAAGAGCAAGTTTTAGGCTACCTGGTATCACCAGCTTTGGGGAAAGCATTTGCCAGCCTGACTCCTACCAGGTCAGAGTCCAGCAGAAGCATGGAGCGTTTTGTGTCCCATGTCCCCAGACTCTAGCAGGTATGCTGCTGTGGTGACTGCAGGCACACTCACAAGGAATCAGAATAGCAGGGCAGGAACAGCCCTCTAGGATGAGGCAGGCCACTCTCCTCTCTACTGCTGGGGGAAAGTGAAGCCCTATCACACTGTCACTTATGGACATGTGACAAGATGGTTTCCTAAAGCCCT